GAATCACAGTTTAATGAAAAAGTCTCTGTCTCCTGCCACAGGATGGGAGAGATGAATAAAGAAAGGGGCGTGGGGCAATAAAACGTGGAACAGGGTGAGAATCAGGCAGGAATATTCCTTGGTAATTTAATGATGAAGTCTGACTCCAGGGTTCCCAGGAAACGGGGTCTCAAAAGAGCTTTAATAACTAGGATACATTTGCAAGCCTCAGAACTTATGGTCTGTGTTTGCTTGAGGAATCTCTGTTCATGAGTCTTAACAAAGTTCAAATGCTAAGTCAACTCAGTACCTTGTACATCAGAGGTCCTTAAGTCAATCAAGCACACTCAGTGAACCCCTGCAGGGCACCAACTAAGTGTGGTGCATGGTGTCCACAAGAGGGGGATGGACACAGCACAGTCCCTGTCCTTAAGAAGCTCACAGTCTTGCAGAGAGGACGAAACACTTCCACTTTGTTGTAAATCAAGGACTACAGGACACAGAAAGAGGAGCACGGACATCTCAGACCTCTAGGGAAAGAAAGCTTTAGAGAGAAGGTCATGTTTGAAATACAGTTTTGAAGTGGGCGTGGGATTTAGATAAGTAGGAAGAATTTTGTAGGTGTGGTAGGTAGCTTGTGACATGAGTCCCAATGACCCCTGGATCCAGTGGCTTGCTTCTAATGAACAGAATACAAAAGTGAAGAAATGTCACTTTTGTGATGAGGTTACAAAAATACTGTGACTTCCATTTTCCTCTGTCTCCTGTCTCTCTCTCTCTCGTGGGCTCTATCTCTCACTGGCTCTCTGGCTCTCTCTGTGTCTCTGTCTGCCTGTCTCTCTTCCTCTCTCTCACTGGCTCTCTCTCATGCTCTCTCTGTCTCAGTCTCTCTCTCTCTCTCCTCTCTCTCTTTCACTTCCATGTTGTGAGATGCTCCCTGGAGAGATCCACATGGCAGGACACGGAAGGAAGCCTCCAGCCAACTGCTTCTCAGGAACTGAGGCGTCACAAGGGACTGCATCCTCACAGTCACCCTGGGTGTGAGCAGGCGGCAGATCCTTCCCCACCGAGCCTTGAGAAGACTGCAGCCTGGCAAGAGACCCAGAGACGAGGGACGCAGATCCTGAGCCTCAGAAACTTTGAGATAATATCACTGTTGTACGTCACGAAGTGGTGGGGCAATTTGTTACTCAGCAATTGATGATCAATATGAGACAATGAGAGTTACCAAATCATCTGAGAAAAATAGTGTTTCCTCATCAGCCTATCCCTGAAATTTATAAAATTACATGTACATATAATTACAAAGTTATGCACACACATATAAACATGCACACATATTCAGTATATAGACACATATAGTTATGTGTGTACATATGTATCTATATGTGTGTGTGTGTGTAATTTTTATTTATAACTTACCCTCTTAGGTTGCTATATTTTTCATGGAACACACTTATATTCCTAAAAGCTCATATTCATTTACACACAGAAAGGTTAAGTAACTTGACAAGCTAGTTAGTAGTACAGCTGGGTATAGAAAACTGACATCCAGATTCTTAAATCGCTCTTTTAATGTAAATAATGAGAGCTAGAATATAAAAACGTAGTAGGACCAGTACCAATATAGAAGAATGACACCACCTGTGCCACCAAATTACATGACTCAATTCCCTTCTTTTTTTCTTTTTTTTAAAAACCTTCACAGTCTTCGTGAAGCATAGACAATACTTAAAGAAGTGATTGTGGCTGCATGACAATAAAACTTTATTTACAAATGCAAGTGGCTGGCCAGATTTGACCCAAGGGTAGTGTGACCCCTGTTCTAAAAGCTCCCCTCTGACTCCATTTGCAGATGTCATCAAATCCAAAACACTCAACTCACAGATGGAAAAACTGAATGTCAAAGAAATTAAGTTATTTGCCAAAGATCATACAGCAAATAATTGGCAGGACTTAAATCAGAGCCTGGGGCTGCTGACTTTAGGGCAGTACCCTTTCCATTGCACCATGCCACCCTAAAACAATCAAGTAAAAGAAAAGAAAGGAAAGAAAGAAAGCCTTGCTTGCCACGTTGTCTAACTGCTCTGCTGGCCCAGGAACAATTTTCAATTCTCAGTGAATTAAGCACAACCTAAAATATATCTTTCCTTCCAAACCCAAAGAGCAAGCAAATTCCCCTGGGAGGAGAAGGCAGAACTCACAATGGCGTAGGATCTGTGGAATGTGCTTATGCCCAATTAAGCATCCCAGCAGGGTGGGCCAACCAATTAGACTGAGATTAAAAATGGATCCTGGATGGAAGACATGGGGTGTCTGCAGCAAGGCCCATCCCACTGGGGGGAGCTGAAAGTGGGAGGGTGGGTGACAGCAGGGTAGGGAATGGATCAATACTGGAGCCAGCATTGCAGCATTTAAGACGCTACTGGAAGGAAAATTGTAAGGAAGGCCAAGACTTTCTTTTCAGAGTTAAGCACTACATTTATAGGAATCCTCTCTCATCCTCTGTTAGCCCTCTGCTTTCCTGTAAACACAACACACATGCAGAGACAGATATACACACACTCATTCACACATTGGGTATGAAGTTGCACGAAAGAAGGAGAAAAGACTATGAGACAGGCAGGAGAACTGGCTCTGAGCTCCAGGTGTTTCTTCTCCTGGACATTTGCGTCTCCACCTGTGAAATAAGTCAATTGAATTAGATCGTCTTCAGCCCTGTATCCTCTAGCGAAAACTCTGGAGGTAGAAATCTTGGGCTAAAACCTGACTCTGCCATGTATTGCTTACCCTCTGTAAGATGTAAATGCTAACTTAGAGGGATGGGTTCAGGTTTCTATTAAATCATGAGGCACAGTACCCCAAACATAATCAATCCAAGGATCTGTGGAATGTGCTTATGCCCAATTAAGCATCCCAGCAGGGTGGGCCAACCAATTAGACTGAGATTAAAAATGG